TTTTAGAGTGTGATTGACAATGGAGGAGGAGAGAGAAATCATTTTTTAACCAGATATATTATTTTATCATTATTCTTAATTATATAGACTAATATACCAGACAGTGTCACTGATAGAGGTGGTCATTTTGTCTCAGTTTGGAATGAGACACAGACCACTCACTGGATTGTTGAGTTTGGAGGAAAGAGAAATGATAGTTCAAGAATCAGTGATACTAGATTTATTGAAATCAGTGAGTACATGTATACATTAGTAGATACAATGTGTATTGAATATGCATTAATAATAATATTACAATAAAGAATGAGTGAGGGGTGTGGCTTTATGTACGATTGTACACGCCAACTAAAATTAATGGGGTACTGCATGTATAGCATTAAAAGCGTGAATTCCAATTTTGAATTTTGAAAGTGTGTATATTTGTGGGTGGGGCAACTTTTAACCATGCCCAATCTTAATTAACTATGCGACAAATTATTATTATTATTAGTATCTAGTACTGGTGATTTGGTAGTACAGTCAGTACTGGACATTAATGAATATCAAAAGAGAAAAATACAAGGTATTAACACATACATGTACAAGTACATGTACCTAACACATGTTTCACTTATGTGAGGTACGCTCATGCTTGCTAGCCAATAAATAATTCTATTTCATGTATCAGCAGCTAATGAGATTCCTAACCATCTATTGTTTTGATAAACTCTTTTCACAATCATAACAGAATCCATTGTAGTACAGCAATCATAAGTACATACACACAATCAGTAATGGTTAGGTAATACACTCACTAATGTAACACACACTAATCTAATAATGTAATAGACCTCTTTGTGTATACACAACACAGTTCCTGCTATGTTTATTAACTATACTATTTCATTATATTATATAGATGCTGTAGGGAAGTGGATGGAGGAAGGGAGTGTTGATCTAACTGTTACTCGTGTTAATATGCTTGGTGCTCCTGGAGCTGGTAAAACCTGTTCACAGCTCCTCCTACTAAATGAAGACCCACCCACTAATGACACCAGTACACCCATAGCCTGCCCTCCTGTTAGGGCTACCAGAGTTGCCGTTTGCGATAAAACGATTTGGAATCGAGTTACTCGAGCCAATTTACTCGACCAATTAGCAGCGGATTTAGAATCAGTTTCACTGGAAAATATAACAAAAGAGCCTCCCCTGCCCATAGTCTTCACTTTGCTAGATAATACTAAACCAGCAACAGAAATACGACCAGATCCATCTCCTACTCCACAGAAGAAGCCTGATCAAGCAGTTTCATCAGAGACGAAAGTTATCAATGAAGACAAAGAGTATCATACCGAAGCAGTCGTCCAGGAAATTTTAGCGAGTCAACCGAAAGGGATTCGTAAAAGCGATCATTGGCTGTACATTATTGATTCCGGTGGTCAAC